AGCTTAGCCGTAGGCTTGCTGTATAGTACGTTTGGGCGATTGCGGCAGAAAGCCTTCTAAACGTTGATTCAGCTATCCCGTCCCCCTTGAACGGTAACGATAAGTAGATCGGCTTCTTTCCTATTGAATCCACTTTTGCCTTCGCTTCTCGTACCTCCATGTTTCTTTGAACGAACCTCTTAGGATAGCCATTTCTATCGAATAGGCTTCGTACAAAGTTTAGCTCGTCCGAAAGCATGTCCTCGCTACATATCCTTCTTGCTCGCTCGGTTAGGCACCGAACAAGTTTCCGTTTCTGGCAGAGCGGGACGAAGCTGGCAAAGTGAGTATATTGCCCATTCCACGTTGTCTTTCTAGGGACACTGCGCTGGACCGACCCGTTAGATCTTCGGCTAATCCGAACGTCTAAGTATGACATTGAGTTGTTGCACTCAGATTCAAGGGTGAATTTTATGTTTGCGTGGGTTGAGTTAAATTGCCTCACTAATTCATCCGTGCATAAATGACTATCTGAGATACAGAATATATCGTCCACATACCGTCCGTAATAGACTAACTTGTCGACAACTCCGTTTAGACAGTTGTTCTGTAACTTACTCATAAATACGTCTGCTAACAATGGTCCTAACGGAGAGCCCATTGCGACTTCGTCTTTCTGTCTGTAGATCTTCTCATCGAACAGGAATTGTACGTTCCTGGTACACATCAGAAGCAACTGTTTAAGTCGCTTGTTCGAGAGGCCAACATACACATGGTGTAATCGAACAGCGACGGAAAGGTAGTCTATCGTCTCCGCCAGCGAAACATTAGTGAAGAGCGACACTACATCTAGAGAAAACACTTTCCTTCCGGTTAACTGCATATGGCTTATGGAGTCTACGAAGCTGAATGTATCTCTGAAGCTGTTTGGCTAGGACTTTTCTGGTCGGTTCTAGAAGCTTAGCGAGCCATTTCGCTGTTGAGTGATATGGAGAATCACACATGTCTACTATTGGCCTCAGTGGAAGTCCCTCTTTATGCACTTTCGGTAAGCCATAAAGACGTGGAATCACTGTTCCGGAGGGACGCGTGTAAGGTGAAAGAGTATGTCAATACCGCCTCGCATAGTGGTGGGCCTCAGGCATCTGAATCGCATTGCAGCAGCGAGTGAGAGTTCACGATCAGTAATGTGGGACGACGTTGTACTTTTAATGCACCAGATTGACTAGCATAGCATAATGTAAAATCGCTGTATTTGCTAACCAAAATAGCGGTAACGCAAAGTCAAACGATCCAGCTGAAAAGGAATGTGCGAACATTTCGTGCGATCTTGCAAACCCATGGAAACGTGAAAAAATGTCTAAACAGAAGCAATGTACATATGCTGATGATTAAGGTTACCGTGTTTGCCGAGCAATCTAATAATTGCATGGCTGCACTCCATTTCACGGTGAATGAAAAGCAAGTGAGAGAATGGCGAAAAGAATAGACAGAATTGTCACTAATGCCTGAAGGCAAGAGAGCAGCACGCCGTAGAACAACCACGTTTCCAGCACTGGAGAAAAAGTTAGTGCAGTGGGTTATGGAGTCAAGGCACAGCGGGTCAATCGTTACCCGAACGAACATTCGGATCCGGGCGCGCTCACAATGTTAAAAATTCGGAATTCCAATCATCAAAACCGGTGAAATTTGTTGCTTCCTCTGGTTGGTGCAATCGTTTTATGAACCGATTCGACATGTGTCTACGGACCCGCACAAAACTAGCCCAGAAACTGCAGAAGGAATTGAACGAATCTTTTCAAAGGCTCATGATTCAGCTGAGAAAGCAATACGATTTTGAACCGTCCCAAATATGAGATATGGACGAGACGCCCGTGTGCTTTGATATGTCTTCAAGTCGCACGGTGGAGCATAAAGTTGCTAACACAGTTTTTGTAAAGATGACGGAAAACGAGAAGACACTGTTCACAGTTGTTTTAGGGTGTATTGCGGATGGTTCGTGTCTATCAACTTTCATTATTTTTAAGCGTGAGACACTGCCTAAAGGATCGCAGTTACCAAGCGGCGTGTTTGTGCGTGCTCGCGCGAAAGGATGGATGGAAGGTAGTGAACCATAGACTGGCTGAATACAATTTGGGGAAAGCGAAGCGGTGCCCTTTTAAAGAAACCATCTAGACTGGTTTTGAATTCTTTTAGTGCACACTGAACTGAGAACGTGGGGAAACGAAGCCGTGAACTGAAGTCGTCCGTGGCTTCAATTCCTGGTGGACTCACATCAATCTTGCAGCCATTGGATGTCTGTTGCAATAAGGTCTTTAAAGATAGGCTTCGGTCCAGGTGGATTGAATAGAGGGCATCGTCTAACTTAGCGTTGACGTAGGGTCGCATGTGAAAAAGATTGACATTGTTACAAAATTGCAGGGTGGGTGCAAGAAGCGTGGCTGAATATTCCATCAGAAATTATCGTACGATCATTCAGAAAGTGCTGCAACAGTAATGCTACGGATGCAAGTGAGAGCGATGCGATTTTTGAGGAATTCAAGTGATTTTAATACCATTGTGCAGCATGTGGAGATAAGCGAGACAATAAAATCTACCGGCAGGTGCTGTTCTGTCATGTCTTTTCCCAATGTTATTGTGTTCGATTCTGTATAATCAGTATGTTTCTGTTACTGCCATCCGTCGCGAAAGTCACACGTGCAATACACCGGGAATTTGCGACACAAACATAATGTGTCTACCTATAGGCATTTCAAATCACCGCATGGGATACCGTCTGTCCCTAGCGAGTGGTGGTGCTAAGGCGAGATAGGAGCATAGATGCGCAGTGAATTTGGCATGTGATTTTCACAAATTGCGCATAATATTTGTATAAGCCGACCCCCCCCCCAACTACAGACATGGAAAATTCACCGGCCCATACACGGTAATATACGGTACGTATGTGTTTAATGCATCTTATGCTGGCGCGAAGCTAACAAAGGTTTCAGTAAATTGAATCCTACGAGGACCAGACAGCCGTAAAAGTATGATTCTGCGGAAGGTTTTGGAGAAATAGTAGCGAGATTAATGCCTCCAGGGTCGCCACATAGCGCCTCATAGCGCTTTTTGAAGATTGGTACAATGGTTAACGATCTCCTATATGAAGGAGCTTCTTAAGCGACCGCGATATAGTGCTGAAAAGATTCACTTTACCAGCTACTAATGTGTCAGATGCGGAAGTGAGAGACGTGACATCGACATTCCAGTCACAACAGACCGAATGGAGTGTTGATCAGCAAGAGTGGAGCGTCCATAGTATCACTGCAACGGTTCGACGTCAGCGCAACACACTTGGAGTCGCACAGAAGAGTACACAATCAGAACCAGGTTCCTTTCGTCCTCTTAGTGCTACAGCCAATGCGATTTGTGGCATGACAGCTCAACCTTTCGCAGCTCGGTGTTCGAAACACCGATAAATCTCTTTAGGCATTTACAGCTGTAAATTGGAATGTTGGAGCACAAAGAAACTGATAAAGCAAAAAGAGGCAAACAGTGGAATCGATACAGCCAGAAACTCAAACGTGTTGCTCGATAAAATTGGCTATTCTCTCATGTGTCAGAGCACGTGTTGGTTGATCGGTGGAATGCCTAGTGCACCAACCAGTCGCTGTCAGCGCACTAAGTGATAGAAGTTGGCGAACTAATAAGAGCCAAGGTAGAAGTAACCCTTGCAGGAAGGCCCTCTGTTTTCGTGTTCCAGGTTGTGTTATCCTTATTGCGATCGCCTCGGCCATCCGTAAGATTTGTTTTTCCGCAATACATAAAGTACTTCGAAGCCATCAGCGGTCCTACTTTAGTGTCCGCTTTGGACCAGATGTTCCAGGAACACCGCGTGAGCAATGAGCGTGTTCGGCGTCGCGTATTTGGTGCAGGAAGAGCGAGTGAACCGCTCAGCACCATTATATCACGCACCAGGCTCCGATGGCTGGGCCACGTGTTGCGCATGCCAGCACACCGACTCCCACGACGTGCATTGTTTGCGCGTTGTGGGTGCGGTTGGAAGAGGAGGAGTGGAGGCCAAGTGATGGCTTGGTCGAGAGAAATGAAAACCCTCACTTCGAAGTTGGCGTCGGTTGGTGCATCCCGACTGCCTGGCTGGGGTCCTAAGGACGGTGAACACGTTTGATTGGACACACTTGCTGATATGGCTAGGAGCCGGCCCCAATGGCGTTTGTGTTGTGAGTTCCTTTGTCCATCCCCCTCCTGTTTAGCATCCCTCTCCAATCACGATCTCAATCGTTAGGCATAATATGACTTTCTTTTATGGCAGACAGCTGTTAGCTCTCCGGAACGATGTCCATACGTTACTGGGGACTCAGCGGGCGTGCCACTGTTGGTTTGTTTTTTGTTTGTTTTTTCTTGCCTTTTGTATTGCGGCACAATAGCTGAGGTGTTTTCCACCTCCAGCTAACGTGTAATGATGATGATGATGATGACCAGATGTTCCATCCTGGAACATCTGGTGAGCTTCATCGGCTCTTTGCTCTAACACAACAGGTTTAAATTGAATGCCTGAAGAGATTTGTCGAAAAGAGTACTTTTCGCAGACTGGCATTCTTGCATTTCCATGGGTATAATTTACTAGTTAGAAATAACAAAATGTTCTTTCTGAACCCCATTGATAAGCCACAAATATTTAGCCCTAAACAGGCCGATACATTGATTCTGCCTAACTGCTGATCTATCTACCTTGATAACTGCAACTACTTGTATAAAGCTATGAGACGATGACTTGTTTGGAAAGCCATGAGAAGAATAAGCGGAACCGCAACAATGAACCGCAGTGACTGAGAGAAGGCCTAGTTGCTCAGACTGAAGCGAACGCCGTAGCAGAGATATGACATCAAAGCGTATCGGTGACATCCTAGTGCTGCAACCTGAACTCAACTGATCATACATGCATACATTGTATGGGAAGAAAAAGATTCTATTCTATCGTCAACAAAACTTTCAATGAGCAAGAAAACATCGAAACTCACACAGCCAGCCGCGGTGAGGAAGTTCAGTTGGGGACTTGGCTTGTCGGCTAATCGCATCCAGCAGATCATCTGAACTGACCAACTTGGAAGCCCGAACCTCGGTAAGTAATTCTTTGAGGGACATCAGTTCGAAGCGAACGCATTTGCATATCATATGATACCGTCTGGCCTTCTCCTCCAAGTCCTCATCAGTGAAATCCTCAAACACACCTTCCTCTTCGTATTCATCTCTTTGGGAACCACAATAGCGAGTTTTGTTAGTATAGCGACGTTCAGCAACACCTTGGGAAAAGCAGAACAGTAAATTCACTTTATAGCGACAAATCATGCTCTTTTTGTGAATTTCGCCACACAAACACATCTGACATGAAATTTGTTCCGGTCTGCCGGGCCATTGTGTAAATGTAGGAATGAGCCTTAGTCGATTGCTTAATGCACTCCCTGTCGAGCAATCTTCTCGAGTGAGTGTGACCGGAACAGGTGTCTAGGTCATGCCTGGTATTTTGGTGGATTGTCGAGCTGCTCACCTACGAGTGTGGACAAAACTCACACTGCCCGTGTGACCAAACGCCAGTCTGATTATTGTCCTCAAGTGCTCAATGTGTTTATATATTGCAACACAGGCAAATTTTGGGCCTTGACTGTCAAAATTAACCATCGGTCAGTTCGAGATTTGGAAATTTAAGGTAGCTAAACCCTCCCAAGACTGAACTCCACTACAGGCCCTGTCCTTGAGTTCACTCTTCAGTTAGAAATAAAGGGAGCTAGGATGAAATATAAATCCAGTAGAATTAATGACGCACCGCACACAAGTGGTACGATGAATTGCGTACATAAATTGGGTGGGGTAGTTGCAGGACATCAGCAGTTTGCCCCTTCATTAGGTCCATGTCCTGCAGACCTCATGCCTGTGTAAGGGAAAGTAAGCACTATATGAAGAATAAGGAAAAACGCTTATCCAAGCCATCAAAGTGCGCATGTTTCCCAAATGCCTTCAGTGGGTCTTCAAGCTAAGTAAGAGTACAGTAAGAAGTAGCGTAGATGAAGAAAAGATTGAAGGCAAATCCCATCTATCCAACTCATGGACATGCCCATATTTTCATAGGTCACCACTGGCTCAAAGTGGGGGGATTTAACTACAATACTGCAACCTGGAACGTTAATTCCATCAACATCAATGTTGCGGTTGCAACGTTTGAACTCAGCTTAACCCGGCCAGTCACATCGCTCACATACCCTTGGCCTCTAGGACATTCCGGTTTGTAATATGTGGCACCTTCTGTGTGCGACGCCCATGTATGTCCCTCCACCCCTTCCGTTGACAAGTGCATTCATGGGAATCGCGACGACCAAGGCTGGTTAGAGAGATTTTCAAGGGAAGGTTGGACTAGGTAAATGAAATTGGGTTGAAAATACGCAGCGTATTGGGGCCGGACACGAAGTAAGGTGAACGACGTTGAGCCAGTCCAGAATAACACAGTCAACTTGTTCACCGCTGGCCGGGTTAAACTACGGTCAAATGTTGCAACCGAAATAAGGACAAAACTGCACACGTCGCTGATGGAGACACTGCGTCCTGTGTGCAGTGTAGACAATTGTCGGTATTGGTGTAAATGCAACAATATTTCCACAGTGAACCCAAGGATCAAGGGTGCGAGCTAGGGAATACACCACATAGTGAATGTGAACGGCATTAGTATTATTTACATATCCTGTTGCGTCGAAGATATCTTCAGAGTGGGTAGTTTATAACGTTCTGATGTTCGCATGGTTGAAGTCTGAAAACCCTAATTGTGCGAAATTTGCGGTTTCGCAAGCCACATTTCCTGAGCTGAGATAGATGGTAGTAATGACATTAAAATGTCAATTGTCTGTATCTGATGTTATGTCAGTACGTTAAACAACGTAGAAACATTTCCACGCCAACTACCCCCGCATTTGCTTACGCACGCTATTGGGTCAAACGAGGGATCGTCCGAACAAGCAAGACTGTATCCAAGTCGTACTGGACAGCTATTCGCGCCTTTCTGGCACGCAAATTAAATTGGGCTTACTGTAGGAATGGTTGCTTTTAAATCTAAAGTACAGCTTCCGAACCGGCTGATGTGGGTTCCGAACTTGACAGACCAACTTCCAATCGGGTAACGAATTAACGCGCCAGTGCACTCAAATACAGCGGACAAACATCGCACAGAGACGGTTTCTATTAAACACGCGATTCATTCGTTCAGATTCAATGACAACATCTTGTCTGGCAATGGACGTGTTTGCGAACTCGCATCTAGCAGTTCCTCTCACTCTTGGAAAAGCCTGACATGACGTGCGCAGTAATTTCGTATTCACTACTATTCAACTATCCACGCTGATATCCCATACTGTGATACATCTGACGGTTGCTTCACCCGGCAAGCTCACTTGGTCCTACAAAGCGCTTTCCAAACATCCTAGTTTTCCGAACAAAGAAACTGTATCTACATTATCTCAGGCTGATCATGAAAGAGTACGGCGCAGCGAATACCAGCATGAAAAGGACCATAAGTTGAACATATCACTCGGGCATGGCTCACTGGAAGTCGGTCCCGTGTCACTCCATTGCGCTAGACATCAGATATCGCTTCAACCCCCGTACGAACACACAAACTTACGTACGTGCAAACATATTTTGAAAACACTGGGAATACTCACACGTCCCTACGCGCTGCCAGTAACGTGCTATACAAACAGATACGTAAAAAATAGGCCAGCAACGTGATCAAAATATGTCATTTTTTCTAGACAATTAGTAAAATGTACACGCATATGTCGAATAGCATTACGACATCCCACAACGCTGATATCCTTGGTGGCTGCTTCGGCAATGCGTTCAAGGAACTGCAGCCTCCATTCCATCTGCGTCATGAGTTTCTGGGGATCCCCGGCCAGAAGTTCCTCGTAGTGCACTCTCATCTCATTCTTCACTCTGGCCTTCACCACCTGCCAAACATTCTCGATCGGATTGAGGAACGGAGAGTATGGGCTCAATCTCAGTATGGTTACTCCATCGGATCCATCTACTGACGACAGTTCTTCCAGTCGTGTGTGACATGGTGCATTATCACATACCACGACAACCTGCCGGAGCTCCATCTCCCGTTTCAGGTTGTCTAAATAGCTTCGCAGCCATTCGAGAGATAGGGAACCTGTGAATGAGCCTCTCCGGGTTGTCATCGACACTTTCCCTTCCATCGTGAGTGCACCGATTAAATGCAAATTGTGCGCTCTTCTGTTGGCAACTTTGCAACAGGCCCTCACTCTTCTAAGCGCCCGACCACGAGTACGTTTGCAGTAAACGTTGAAGTTCGCTTCGTCAATCCAAATCAAGAACTTGCCATCGCTCTCAAGTTGGAGAAACTGCTGAACGAATTCCCTGCGTATCACTTTGCTTCGCTCATTGTTCATTCCATCGGGAACCTGATAGATGTTCTTCCTAGTTATCAAGCGACCATCTAGGTGCCGTGCAAATGCAGGCTTCGAAATGTCCTTGTCCACTTCTGCTCGTGCTCGTATTCGCATTTCCCGTAGCGTAAGAGTTGAGTCCCTTGCGATCCAATCCGGGATGTCATCTACGTCTTCCTCCGACAAAATCCGTTTACGACCGCGCGCCTGCGTAGTACTCGGTTTCTGATCAAGAGAACGACGAATCCAGGAGTAGGCTGTTTGATATTTGACGTTGTTCACAGTTGCCACAAGCTGCCAGTCATCACCGTTGACGAAAGCGTCCAAAACTCGGTCACGAATATCTGATGAGATACTCTGTCGAACGTGAGAAGGCATGCCGACGACGTTAGAATCATAGACATGGTTTCGGTCGTGCGCTTATGTTCCAGCTGTTCATTGCTCTCAGACCAATTGTGATCCATCGTTTCGGACGTGAGGGGGGCGCATACAAGCCCGTTGCACCGTCGAAGTGCATTCCTCCAAGGTTCATTCACAAGTCTCACCCAGTCAACGAGCAGCGCGCTCACCTCCCCAGACTAACGCACCGAACCTTGGCATCCGGCCAATGAGAACACACTTAAGGTCAGAGGATTGGCTCTGAGCGGCTGGTGAATCGCACAGGGTTTTGCAACATTATGGACTTTCTTTGCAAAGTTTTGGACCTTCTTTACAAAATTTTGGACCTTTTATGCAACTTTGCGGGAAATGTTATAGTTCGTATGGAATGGGCAGTTACAGAAGTAGGGGGCCTTCAATAAGAGCGGCAAATTGCGAAGAAACTCCTGCGATCAATCCGAGATCCCTTGCAAATGTTGTCCAGTAGCGCAAATCCGTGGCTTCTTTACGTGCAGGTTTGTGGACTTGGTCAGTGTCGTGCTGTCATTCACAACTAGTACCGCGACTAGCCGTATCCCAAGGAATATGATGTTTGCTGAATCACATTCGTACGCTCTCGAAACTGGACGTGATGTATAGTGACCCAGTGGCGCAGAGGCAGTAGCTACATACGCTTAAAAGTAGTGTCCACTCTTGCATTCGAGACGAAGACATCTGTTGGATTTCTTTTCCCACACCCAGAAGCGAAATGTGGAGATCGAGTTGTCTTCCGCAGACGTAGTGGTGGAAATGCTTGACTCCGAAAATAATTGCTAAGGTCTCTGTGTCCAGTTGGAAGTACTTTCTGTTGGTTGCAGGGTGAGATAAGCAAAAGGGAATGGACGAAGAGAACCGTCATCCGTCTGGTGGCAAAGGACTGCGACTACTCCGCGTGGGGTAGCATCAAATCGCATTACTACAGGCCGGCTCGAATCGAAATGCACGAGATACGGGGAGGGGCTGAGAACTCTTTTTGCATCTATTAAGGCCTTGCTCTGATCCGGACCCCAAGTTCAGGACTTATCTTTGTGCAAAAATTCGTACAAGGGAGCAAATACTGTTGAGGCGTTAGGTAGGAAGCGACGATATTGAGAAAACCCTAAAAACGATCGGAGTTCAGCATCATTCTTGGGTTCAGGTATAACAAGAATGGGCTTGACGTTGCCTTCTAACATGTGTAACCCGCATGTATCGAGAAGGTAAACCAGATAACGAACAGAATCGGAGAAAAGTGTACTCTTGGACTTCTTCAGTTTGAGTCCACTCTGTTGTAGACGTTCGAGCACAATGGATACCGTTTGTAAATGTTCGACATCTGTACATCCTGTAATTAGAATGTCGTCAAGATAGGCGCAAGTAAAAGGAATATCTTTGATCAGGTTGTCAATGATTCTTTGGAATATCGCCGGGGCTGAACTGATTCCGAAGGG